CACACTCCAGCAGTGGACCAGGCCCTCTTGCCCCACTCGGTGCGGTTCCTTCACTCTCCAGCAGTGGACCAGGCCCTCTTGGTGGTGGGTGATGGATGATGGCTGATGGATCGTGCTGGTGGTTCCCTCCCCCCCTTTTGTAGCCGGTAAAAGAGCATAATTGGGCTTCCCCACACCCAGCTATCACTGATACCAGAGGGAAGCCAGGGGTGTGATCATCAACTTTCACCTCGTCACACTGGGAAAAAGGTCCCACCATAGCTATGGTCCAGGTTACGTCATTTTAAAGCGTGGTTATCATCTGCTTCTGTGATGCTACACCAATGGTGGGGATTCTCCATCATCATCATCGGCCAGGATGAATTTACTCCACTGCTAGCCGTGTGGGTCGTGGGGGATCTTTGACCATACTTCACCACGCTCGTCTGTGTTGGTGGGGTGGAGTGAGGTGTGGCAGTGTGGAGGCTGCCAGGATTGGTGCAAGTATCACAGTTTGATGTCTTTCCACCCGCACCTCCGATGAGCACGGTTGGCTATGTACGGTGCGAAAGAAGTTCGGCATACATACGTACGTACAGCGGCCACACAGTGAGAGTGCATCCACGCGGGCAGTGACTTAGTGCCAACAATTGTTCAAGCTCTGGGGTCCTCTCCATATAGCGAGGTGTTATCGGCCAATCAATGAGCGTTCACATGCGAGGAGGAAACCGAAGCAACTGGAGAAAACCCGCGCGTACGAGGGCGAAACAATCGATCCCTATGGAAAGCCAGGCGAAGGCACCCTCAACGCCCATGAGAAGGGCGTTTCACAACATTGGCGCGATCCACCAACCCTCTCGCGTTCACAGTTGGCTGCCCCATGGACCATTAACTATGCCCAGGGCGGACAACGCAGTGATGGATTAGAGGCCGCCACGTGCAGCGCCACCAAGAACCCGGCGATGTAGTAGCGAGGTGGTCAAAGTCATTCACCGAACCAGACGCAATGTCAGCCTTTTCACAGTTTATTATATTTCTTTCATTACAAGTCTGCAATAAAAAAAAAACACTTATTCATCGGTTTAAGTGCATCAGCTTATTCCCTGCAGCGGAGACAGACCCCCCCCCCCCAAGCCAATACTGTGAATACCATTCGACATTTTAAATCAAGCAACACATGTGCGTTTACAATCTGAGTACGACGTTTCACCAGTAATTACAACTAGCTTCATCAGACGACAGCCAGCTCTCCAACACGCCGGTGTGCTGTGTAAGTAACGAATTGGCACGTTCTCTTTACGTGACAAACCTTACTAATTGGCTGTGTCGGGTGGTGGCGGGTTTCACGACACATTTGTATATGCGATCTAACCTTAAAAAAAACTCAGTTTTACACGTAGGCGTTCGTGTCCAACGTTAAAATACAACCTGTTATGGATAATATTGGTCACGCAAGCCTACCGCGTGTTAAACTGACGGGTGCGTTTCTGTGCTTGAGACACACGCAGCTCCTCCCCCCCCCCTCCCCCCCCGTTGTTCTTCACAACGAAACCTCAAATCGCAGGCACATTCATGATCTATGAAAATCGCCGCCGGTGGTGGTGGAGGACGCGACAAGATGACGACACTTTAGACGACACTTTAGAGGGCAGCAAGGAGACTTGCCCGGAGCAAATGATGTCGAGGTTTTTTTGTTCCTTAAAACGTATTTGTTGCTTGTGGTTGAAGAGAAATCGTGGGAACGATCCGATCAATTGATCGAACAACGAAGAGGGGTGGATTTTTTTTTTTATCCACGAGCCACACCCCCCTCACCCCCCCCCCCCCCCCATTGCAGTGCATTGGCTGCCCCACGCATCATTGACTAACCCCTGATGTATAACGGGGAATTCTGGCGGCTGGCTCGGGATAGAGGGGGAGGGGGGGCTGCTGAGGCTCAATTAAGCAGGGGGAGAGGGATTCTCTGTAGCCGTCGGGAGCGCTTGTCACGGTTTAGCACTCGCGACTCGGTCTGGGCACGACGGCCCCGATGCCACCCCTTGTGCCGGCAACTTCACAATAGTGAATTCCCCAGAGTTCTCAACCCCGTTCGGGTTCCTGAAGAAGCTCCCAGTCAGTCGAGCGAAACGTCGGGACACCGTGCCGAGAGCAACACGCGGTACTGCCCGAAGAAGCGTCACACCACAAATGCCAAAAACCTAAGCGGTTAGGCAAATTAAAGTTACACAAATTCGTTAAATAAAATACAACAACAACAACAACAAAAAAGAAACCAATACACAGCTTTAAATATGTAAATCATATAATAAATGTTATAAATAAACCGGAGTAAGTTTCGTCACTTTTTTTTCGGGTTCGTGATGGCGAGATTCCATTAACCTTGCCTGGTTTGCAGGAGGCTCGTGGGTTTGATTCCGGACTCTGGCGATGCCGATTGCATATTTTGTGTTCTCTCTCTCTCTCTGCTCACCCCGAGCTATAACTGCCCTGATAGTGGCATTATCTTTGTGCTGTTCGTCTTTTGGCGTTTTCCGGTCTGACACTGGTAGTGAGACTTGGCCATAAAAAAGCTGCTGTCTCTTGTGTAGGCCAATCAGTTTCAAAGACAATGCATCAAATATTATTATTATCATCATCAGAGCATGTTTGTTTGCATGTTCACCACAAGTATGTGTGGTTAATGCAGACTTGAATCTTTGTAAAAGGAATCTCTTTGGTGTTTGAACATCTTAACACAACTGTTTTATTGCCAGAAAGGGTAAACCTATTAATATTTTTCATAGGTTGATACTGCCAAAAAGGGCTTTCCCTGTTAAGTAATATAGTTCAGTTTTTTTTTAACGTTCATATTTCTCACCAAAAGCAAACCCACCACGACCTTTGATTCTTCGGGATAAGTTAATGCAGACATAAAGTATATATTATCGCGAAGCAACTGACATTTCATGCAAAATAAGTTATGTAAACGTAAATATATAAACAGTAAACCAAATATATTTAATCATAAATATTTCATTCGATCTCATTATCTGGCAAGACATCCGGCCAGCGTGAAAGAGGAGGCCAATAATACCCTCTCAAGGGTGGGCTCCTGGTGCTCCCACCGATGAAGTCCCTTTCTGCCGGCAATTTATTTGGGCACGGGCATGACATCGCAAGGAGGATTGCACCGTCGCCTCTTCAACAAATGCCATCTCTCGACCATGTCCAGCATTCACGGTCCCCTATTGTAACCGGGTGGAGAGAGAGCACCGCTGAGGCGCATCAACTCCTCGGATGAACTTTGCTGCAAGCGAGAAAGAGGGCCCACTTTTCGTAGCCGGGTGGGTGGGTGAGCTGGGTCTCGTGAGGTTGGCGCGAGCGGGGAGCCCTCTGAGGACGGGTCGCTAAACGTAGCGAGCTGGCACACAACACGCCTTGCTTGGCTGGAGCTTCAGGCAACAATGAGATATTATTTATTTGTTTATATATATTTTTTAAAAAGCGATTTTTTTTCTATACTTTGCACTCCCATTGTGTTTTTTGCGTTGTGTTTGCTGCTGTAACGTTCCTCGCCTGCCTCTGACTGGATATCTGTGAAAGATACCTTCATGGATCATTCCAGGGTAAATCTTTTTGCAGATGAGACGATACTGATTACTGCTGGCCGCTCTCCGGATGACGTGAATGCTAAGCTACAGGGTGATTTCAACAAACTACAACATCAGCTAGTTGCTCTTAAACTAGTCCTGAATACCTCCAAAACCAAGGTGCTATGCTTCTCACCAGGACTAAAGCAGGAAGTTATTTTTCCCCAATTACATTCCTTAAATAATTATAAAATAGAGCAAGTCAAGCTCTATAAGTATCTTGGGGTCATCCTGGATTCAAAACTGAATTTTGAAGATCACATTGATTATATTGGTAAAAAAGACAAAAATAAAAATTGGTTTTCTGTATCGACACAAGCATTGCTTCCCCCCAATGTTCCGTTTGGAATTGATAAAAGCTACCATACTGCCTCTACTTGACTACTGTGACATTGTGTATAAATCAGCCCCAAGTACTGTACTAAAGAAGCTTGATTCCATCTATCACTCGGCCTTAAGATTTACATTGAACTGCCCATATAGGACTCACCACTGTGATCTCTACATTGGGTCAAACTTAACATCTCTTAATGTTCGACGGCTTGTGCACCAGATCTTATTTATTCACGATGTACTTACAAATAAATCCGCAGACTACCTGCTCGATCTCCTCTCTGTTTCAAAGAACAAATTTGACCTCAGGTCTTCGCTCATTTACCAGCTTCACATTCCCTATTGCCGTACAAAAACTGGAGGAAGGGCCTTTGCTATTGATGCCCCCAGGGTCTGGAATGCTATTGCCAATAAACTGCAACTTAAATCGCTAACAATGAGATCTTCTCTCAAAACCCCTAGCTGCCACTGCTATTCATTGGCGTAAAATAAAATAAAATGTTTCGCTCCGGATGACGCTGCAAAGTATCATCTGTATTTTGATTTAGCGTGCTGATCTTAAAGGTGCATTGAAAAATTTGATACTTCGACTGATGCTTCTGTTGTTGTGGAGTAACTCATGCAGCCAGCTATGGCTCGAGGATTTGGTGTTACATGTTATTTATGTAGTTTATTGTAAAAATTCGGTCACAGTCCCTATGATCACTGTTACCTTGAAATTATGGCTTTATTATTTGGTGATTTCGAAAACGTTTTTTGGTTTGGGCATGTTTGTTTTGTTTTAGTACGGAGTTAGACTGGCCTTAATCTAAGTTTTCTTGTGGTTGTTGTTGTTTGACTTGCATCCCACTGGGATTTTTTTGCACACAGCGTTGGTGCACGGTGCTTTTTTCAGGAATATTTTACTGTTTTTTCATGGATATTCTGTTTGCACAGTCACATAATCACTTTAAGATGTTTTCTTGTTCGTGTTTTAGTTTTTTTGTTTGTCGTGGTTGCATCCGATTCAAGAGCCGAATGGCTCACAGGGCTATACCAAAATAAATAAACTGAAACTGTAATAGCTCATCGGATTCCTCCAGTATTAATAAATATGATTTATAATGATAATTTAAAGGCCTTACTAATCCTTCAAAACTCTCTTTGAATTTTTTTCGAAATTTAACCCCCCCCCACCTCTCCTGCCCTCATCTACTTCCTAAAAACCATTTCCAATGTAAATAAGGATTAATATTCTTGGTTCTTTCGGTAAGGTCACGTAGAAGGGAAACAATAAAATAATAAAAATATAAATTAAGGATGTTTTGGAATGCCAAGGGCAAGAGGAAACAAAAAAGGAACGTGCTTCGGACACACTTGGCCCCCGCTTCGCCTCTGCGCCACCCGGATTGCGTCGCCGAGATTCAACCCCCGCGCGAGGGAACGCCGCTCCCTCGGAGGAGGTTCAGCTTCGACTTCTCCTCGGATTCGCGTCCAGCCAGATATGCAGGGCTTTGAACGCATGGCCCATATCGCCGTGGGCCGTGAAGATCTCCGCTTGTTCACTCTGCAGATTGACGGCCTTGCCCCTCCCTGCCGAGAGCAGGATGTAGGTCTGGTCTTCAGTCGGATCGGGGCAAGGGCCTCCTCGCTCCTTCGGCAAGACGATGGACCAGGGCTTGTCGTCCGGCATCACCTTCACCTTGAGGTGGTCCTTCCGTCCCTGCTTCCAAACCTCCACGTGGGCGTCAAAGCGGACGTGGTTACATTCCTCGCCGGGCAGCGGGGGTCGCAGAGTCCCGATAGTGGCTGTAAAAAAATGAAAAAGCAAAAAAATGGGGTCGATAAGGTGAAGAAGCAAGCATCTGGCAAGTGCCTGCTCAAGCCACTGGCTGAGGAATGGCCTCGTGAATGAGTGTAAATCACCATCACTCAAACTCCGGTCATCCTAAACCATCAACACGTGAACTCCAGTCATCATAAACCATCAACACGTGAACTCCGTTCATCCTAAACCATCAACACGTGAACTCCAGTCATCCTAAACCATCATCACGTGAACTCCAGTCATCATAAACCATCATCACGTGAACTCCGTTCATCCTAAACCATTATCAAGTGAACTCCAGTCATCATAAACCATTATCAAGTGAACTCCAGTCACCATAAACCATCATCACGTGAACTCCAGTCATCATAAACCATCAACAAGTGAACTCCAGTCATCATAAACCATCATCACGTGAACTCCAGTCATCCTAAACCATCATCACGTGAACTCCAGTCATCCTAAACCATCAACACGTGAACTCCAGTCATCCTAAACCATCATCACGTGAACTCCGTTCATCCTAAACCATCATCACGTGAACTCCAGTCATCCTAAACCATCATCACGTGAACTCCAGTCATCATAAACCATCATCACGTGAACTCCGTTCATCATAAACTATCATCACGTGAACTCCGTTCATCCTAAACCATCATCATGTGAACTCCAGTCATCCTAAACCATCATCACGTGAACTCCGTTCATCATAAACCATCATCACGTGAACTCCGTTCATCCTAAACCATCATCACGTGAACTCCAGTCATCCTAAACCATCATCACGTGAACTCCGTTCATCATAAACCATCATCACGTGAACTCCGTTCATCATAAACCATCATCACGTGAACTCCGTTCATCCTAAACCATCATCACGTGAACTCCAGTCATAGTCCTCGCAGCAGCAGCAGCAGCAGCTTTTGGCTAAGTCATCGAACAAAACCGGTCACCGCACTGCGCGTGCTTTTAGGTGCGCTTCTGCGGCCGTTTGGAAAGCCCTTACTTCCAATGGTAGGAAACCACTGGGGCTATGCACTTTAAAATCATCAAGATTGAAAACTAATTTCTTTGGAACTGCTTTTTGTGTTTGAAGTGCTGTCCTTCCCCCGCGCCTCCGATTAGCACGGTTGGCTACGTATGGTACGAAAGGAGTTCAACATACGTACACTAGAAGGAGTCTGAGAGGGTTCCTCTTGACCTACTCTTGCACCCTGGATAGAAGTCTTGCAAGACATGGGAATACCAGAATTTAACCCCAACACACGTCACCTGCTGGCCGGCTAATTGTCAAATTAGGCCTGGCTTTTAAGTTTCCCTTTTTTAGTGTATCAGATTTTAACAAAAAAAATTATCATCCAATTTTGGATTTTATTTAATAATTTCGGATTCATATGTATTGCAATCTCCTCATGTTTCGGAAGCTAAGCAGCTTCGAGCCTGGACAGCGTTGGGACGGGTGACAACGATGCTTAAACTGGCTGTGATTGGCGGCTCTGGGACTATGCTAGGTGGCATTAGGCAGAGGCCTGTACAGAAAAATACATCATTGTGCACTACTTCTATACTCTTTGCCTTCACCAACTCTTTCAACATGGTGAAGTATGGTTCAATACCTCCCCCCTCCCTTCCTTCCAGACCGGCCATGCCCCACACTGCATGGTGAAGCCCTCATCCAGCAGTGGATTGACAAAAGAAGCGCTTTTGCACGCACGACGTACACATTTAGGATGTGGAAATCAATAGCGGCCTCTTATCGGCATGTGGCAAAGGGCAATATAAATTGCCCTTTCGTTGACTGAATTCAAAGTTTGTCCACGGGCCTCAAGGCGTGGCGTAGGGCCGGGTTTTTTTTGTTTGAAGCCAAACTTGTGGATATTAGTCACGAGTAGGGATTTCCCCATTCCCCTACCACCCCCCCCCCCCCCCCCTCAAAGTTCCCTTGAGGTTTGGTTTTGGTGGTGGTGGCTGTGCATTACGAAGCGAGATTTGCGGTCCGCGTAAGTTAATAATAAAATAAATAAAGGTGACGACATCCAGAGCTGCCGCGTCCAAGGCTGCGGGTAGCGTCGAATGACACTCACCGAATTTGTAGCGCTTGGAAGAGAAGGCGTGGAGTGGCTGAATGCCGTCGCCTGCAAATACATCAGACAGAGAGCGAGCGAGAGAGATTTACAATCAGCTATGCACGAAGTACCATAAATATGGTCAGTGTATGTAATCCATGGATCATTGCATTGCGATAATGGCACAAACTGTTTGCATAAATAAGCACAATCAATAATAATAATAAATGTACGTGACAAAAGGTATTCAATGAGCATATATTAACATTCGACGGTACATTTGGTGGAAGTGCGGATATCGCGATGAATTTGTTGTGTGAAAACAAAGTAACTATGGCAGTTTACGGTCTGAATTAGATGCATTTATGTGGCCTCTTTTCATAATTTGAAAACCCTTTAGGTTCCGACGAAACATGGGCTCGCATAATCATAGCAGCAACAGCTGTTGCCTGCTACGTGTTAAACGCGTTACTCTTAACTGGAACCCCTTCGTTACATTGTCATTTTCCGTATGACTGCGACCACGACGACTGCGTAGGATTTCGCGGTTGTCCTGTAACAGCCAGGAGCTTCGCTTACTGTGATACCGATAGAGCTTTCAGCTTTCAGTGTCTGTGACGGACGACGGCACAGCCCGCAAAGGCTTTGGCGAGCGTGGTCGTTAATATTTCGAGAATTTTTTTTTGCCGATTCTCAAAATGGGATTTTTTTGTTGGCATGTTCCTTTTATTATTTGTGTAAGTTCACACAATGTCCTTTTTTGACAACATTGATTTTATTTAAATCAGAGTTAAGAGCTCAATGTGGCCCCATGTCCACTTGATATGTCGTTTACCTGCTGGGATTTCCACAGGACATTCAGACAGGTCATCCGATGCGGATCTGAAAGTGAACACAAGAAAGCAAAATAAATAAGCAGACAATAACATCTCCTTCACATATATCTATCTATACGCACACAAAAATAACACACAATCGGCCCTACGGCTTTCTGGGAGTGTACCGTTTCCGCAGCATTGATTCAGCGCAAGAAGCAAATTCTGGACCGGCTTCGACACACAGCGTCTCATCAGCCTGCTTCAATCAATGCTGGCGAACTTCCAGATGTTTCAGTGAGGACTCTCTCTCTCTCTTTTCAGCCGAATTAAATATTTAGGATTTTTTTTTTATCAGCCAGGACAGTCACATATGTGCAAAACGAACGATAAATCCCATTATCCTTTCCTTAATGTCGTATGATATATCGTAAATACGTCGCTATATTGTGGCAATACCTCGCTGATCTCGTCAAGGAGCATAAACCATAACAGCGAACTCCGGTCAACCTCGCAGCAGCGGCAGCATTTGGCTGCTAGCCATCGAACAAAGACGGCGGTCACGTGCTTTCAGATGCACTGACTGTCTGGAACGCTCTTCCTTCCGATAGTAGGAAGGCACTGGAGCTATGCACCTGTACATCATCTCGATGGAAAACTAATTTCTTACGTTACTGTTTTTGTGTGTGTTTAGTTTGTTGTCCTTCCCCCTGCACCGCCGATTAGCATGGTCGGCTACGTACGGCACGAAATAAGTTCAACATACATATACGAGAAGGACTCCATGAGAGTTCTTCTATTTTGGCCTGCTCTAGGACGCTGGCCAGGGCACATTGGGAGATAATGGGAGCACCCGAAATTGACCCAACCTCGAGGTCGGCTACGTACGGCACGAAATAAGTTCAACAAACGTACGGCTAAGCCCACCCAAAGGGTACACTCCCATACCTGCTGCACAGCTCGCCGTCGTTGCAACCGTACTCCTCTTTGTTGTAGATCCTGTCATTGCAGCATATGTCACTCTCCGTGGAGTACAACTTCGTTCCGCAACAGGACTTGGCACCATCGGTTTCATGAACTTTGCCGTAGCACCACACGTGTTTACTGGCAAATGTGCCTGAGAGGAGGGGGGGGGGTTTGCGGCGGGAGACCACAACGTTGCAATGTTATAGGGCACCACATTTCTCATGAAGCTCAAACCTGTCAACCCCTTATCAGTGCCAATTCAGACCTTGTTGGTCACCCTTATAAATCTCAACGTTCATCCTACAAAGTGGCATCCAAGGGAGAAACACAAACAGACACCACTTTAAATTTGTATTATTTTGCTGCCCGTATTGAAACGGCTGTACACCATGTGGACCTGAAAACTCAATTTCCCTGTACAGGAATACGGGGTAAACCCTGTGGGTTGACACGGTACGGAGACTCAACCAGAACGCTTACGGAGCTGATAGTCCCCCTCCCCTCCACCAACCCCCGCCCACTTTAACATGACCAAGCCAAATTTTTTTTCACCTGAAGACGATTTCTTGTGTTGCGATCGCAACGTCGTGATTTTTAATTATTATTTTTCTATCTACGTGACTTTACCAAGTCCACGAGACTACAAGACACCGCCCACCTCGCGTAGCCCCGCCCTACTGCTAGGGGTAGCCTATCAAAACCGTGCAGTCGACTGGAATAAATGTCTAACGGTACCAGATGGGCATCTGTGAACAAACATCTTCACGGATCATCGGATTCCTCCAGTATAAACACATATTGTGATTCAGGTCCACGGGTAAAACATTGACAGGGTGGCAACCTTATATTTTTTTATTTAGCCGGTCTCACGAGTCGGGGCGTCGACCACGAGGCGAGAACGCGGTTTTAAACCGGGACAAAGATCCTGAACCGTCACGCGAGACGTTGAGACGTGGAGGCAGACTTTCTGAGATCGGGACTTCCCAGCCCATGTGGGCATTTGGTCGCCAGTCAGTTCTGTGTACGGCCTCGACGCGCTGCGTCATCCCACAGATTTTTTTAAATTTGTTGAAGCCCTTTCCTGACGTGTTGCGACATCGTCATGATGTCATGCGTGTTAATCTGCGGCAGCTTGATTTTAAAATTGCAACATCTTTTGTTTTACCTATCTTTTTCAACGGGCACATCCTGTACACATCCTGTGAGCATCTTTGTGTTATTGTAACGCTTAGTTGACTTTCGCGACCGATTTCACCCGTAATCTTTTTTTTTGGGGGGGGGACGGGGTTAGATCGCGTAAATATAAATGTGTCTTTAAACCCACAAATCTGGCTGTTCGTCTGATGATGCTCCTTGTTATTACTGGCGAAACGTCGTACTCAGATTGCAAATGTTGTGGATTTGCTCTCCAACACACCGGTGTGCTGTACTAGTGACGAATTGGCCACGTTATGTTTACGTGACAAACCTTACTAGTTGGCTGTGTCGGGTGGTGGCGGGTTTAATGACACATTTATATATACGCGATCTAACCCCCCAAAAAAACACCGTTATGGATCCTTTTTGTTGTTGTCAATTCCACTGCTGGATGACAGCCTTCACACCCCGTGCAGGTGGGCCATAGCGGTTTATTTGGAGCATACTTCACCACGCTGGTCAGTGCAGCTGTGAAGAAGGTTTGGGGACAGCAGAATACATTTATAAATATTTGCTGTACTGCCCTCCTACTGACAATGTAGCCTCGCAGCCAGCCCCATAGCCACCTGACTTTTTGGGGTTTTTAACACCCGTAGTGGTCACCCATCGAAGCCCTATTCAAGCTCAGGGTGACAGGGGCGGTATTGGACCGGTACTGGCGTTAACCGGCGCCGGTATCTGAACTCGGGTGTCGCTGGGTTCCCTTGCGTCACGCGCTAACCACTGGACCGCCGCTTCGCCCACCACGTGTGCATTTATGAATGAAGCCATCATTGTGGTCCAATGACAACGATATTCCACTTGAATTTCCTATGTAGTGAACGCACAAATTCTTTATAAAGTTGCAACAACGAACGGTACAAGAAGAGACGATGGGAGTGCAAAGTATGAGAAAGGTAAGCAAATCACGAAAAAATGAATACTCAAAAAGTATATGTTCACTTTGCATCAGTACACAAATTCCGAAGCTTGGGCAAAGGCAGAAAAACACAGCAAGAGCGGTGCCAGCACACACCGAGACAACGGCATGCAGTCCCTCAATACAATCTCACGTTACATTTGTGACTATCCATACGTGAGCAAGGTAGGTTTCGGGAAGGCATTTCACGACAAAGTGTTATTTTATAAGTGTAAAAACTAAAATGTTGATCACACGTGTCCGCCTGTATTTCTCGCCGGAGGCCTTATGCTCAATATATTCACGCCCAGTAATTTACCTACAATATTTCACGAATATATCTGTGCACAGCATGCGCTTCTGTGGGACTTGCCTGACGCACTTTCTATAATTTAACAATCGGTATACATACGGAGCGGTGGTGCAATGGTTAGCGCATTGATTTTATGAACCGTCACCCGATCGACGGGTCACGTGCGGTGGGTAACAGTGTGGGCTGGCCAGTGTGGAAGAGTAGACCAAAATACTGTGTACGGCAAGTAATCTATACAAAAAAAGGACCCCATCGCATTGTTCAACTAAAGTTTCAGAAACGAATTTAACGAACACTCACCCATGCACGCACGTACGCACGCACGCATCGGTCCGCCAAGAGTTAACTTTTTTACTCGGCAATTTCAAACGTGAGCTTCTCGTTTAAATAAACCCAGAGAGTGCACGGAAATTGGTTGCACGCAATCAATACAAAGGTACTCAACGATTAAAACGATCACAAAATGCACAAAGCGAACCTATCACCATCCTGAACAGCAGAAACGCAAGGTAGACTTAATATTTTTTTGCAATACAGTACACAAGGAATATGCCTATTCTACTCCAAAACGTATATAGTATTGTATCCGTTGCGTGTGTGTTTTCAGAGGAACGCCATAGCGAGATATGTCGGTCTGCTGATGACAAGAGTACATGTGATGAACACAACCACCCAGGGAATAGAGCGAGACACAGGCCAAGCAAGTGGAATAGACGTGGAGGCGATGGCCCATGGACAAGGAGTACGTGAAGAAAGAGGGCCACACGAGTGGAGAGTGGAATACCAGAACGAAAAAATAAAGTCACCGGGATGAAGTGACTCACCGTGGAGAAGTTGGAGAAACAAGCAGACCGTCAGGAGCAAATCCATGTTCAGTCTTCGGCCGAGCAGAAATAATCACGGCTCACCTCTTTTGCAGCGCGCCTTATATACAGGGCAACATGTGGGGCGGGTTGCTGAGGTCTTGGGGTGGTGACGACTTCAAGAGATGCCATTGGGGCTTTGCACTTGCGACTGTGCCGAGGGACTTTCCTCGAGGTGAAGTCTGAAGCCCGCACGTAACACCCAACGAAAGGCGATGTGGCGAAAACGGTATATATATAAAAAAGTATATATATTTAAAAAAAATCCACACTTCACGCCGATGCTTTGCGAGCCAATATACGCGTGCGCTGAGTCGCGGTGAGTGGAGGGAATTCCCCTTCGTACGCGAGGACGTGGTTAGGAAATGTTTCACCAGCGGCTTGGTAAAATAAACAGTAATGGAGATACCGGTCTATCGTGCGATGGATACATGTGAATATGCTCATTCATTCTAAATTACTTTTACAAAGGTACTTCTTCAGCTGAACTTACGTGATTGACAAATGGGTACATTTGATATATACACACATATCGTGGCGTTTACTTGTCACGAAGGGAAAGACTTAAAGAAGGCCAAAAGTAAACCCGTGTGCTTTTATATTCATTAATCCCTTAATATGTTTCTACACATTACATCCGCTCGTTGATTTCATAACAAAAATATCAGCGAGCGGGCTTATGCAGAACAACATCGTAGCTGTGGTGTGTTACATTCAACGCACGGGACTGATGACGCACCCGATATGACCCAACAATGTTGAAGCTGTAGATCAAATTATCATCAGAACACTCTCATCATCGAGATGGAGTGTGGCATCACAAGATCGTCGGGGTTGACGATAGCGTGGGAATGCTTCCATTAAGCAGTGGATAAAACATGGCTCATGATGCTTGTTGACCTGCCCATACTAGACATCAGTGAAAAAGAGCGCCATAGCTTGCCGGTTTCCTCCAGCGGTCTAAATAAAGATTTTGAGGAGCGACTTATGCTCTACTGTAATCCTTTTTTAGTGAGATAAAATGGGCACCACTTTGAGGCAACAAACTAGTGCCCATCGCCTGGTGATCCCTACCATAGTAATGTGGAATTTCCACTATTTTTGCAGGGCCAACCAAAAATGCACGGACACGTCTTAATCGTTCGTCTGAGCCGGGAGACACGTTGAGTTTGTCTCTCCGTTCAAACGTTCGTACCACACAGAGGTCAAATATTTATTATCCTGGCGTGGGGAACTGTTTCCTTCGGAGGGCTGAATATGACACATACAAACCTCTTTGATCGGTATAACCACGAACACAAAGATCCCCCGTGTAGACTTAACAGACTGTTGGGGCAAGTGCTGTTAGCGAGCACTTTTGCAGGCCGGAACGGCACACGAGGAGGCTGGTCGGCAGCACCACGCCCTGCCGCCTTTGTCTCCCTCGTGGCGATGTTTTTACGCACCGCACCAGGTACTAATTTGAGGCTAAGTCGACCTAGAGGAGGCCCATGACCGGTTCAGATATTCGTCACTGGTGTTGGCCCGTGAGCAGGAATCGACCTCGGGCCGCCGGGTTCCTATAACTTCGTACGCATCGGCAGACGCATCCGTCACTGAAAAGGAGCCGTGAACATTTTAAGCAAAGTGTTGCTGCGAGTGAAAACTATTCCCCTCCAGTAGCTGAATATTGGCAGCTAAGATGTGAAGTGATGGATAAACACCGTTTACAGCTCATTAGTTTCGTGTGGCCCCGGGCTTCATGAATGAAGTCACCTGCTGAAAGTGAACCCTGGGCACGAAGTAACCCATTGTATGCTCCTCGTGTTATGTTTAATACTCTACTTGAGGTATGTGTATCAACGTGAAACCGAATACGCCCTCATTGTATGATGTAGCTGTAAATACACGACTTTGCTTGCATTATACATTGTAACTTCGATTTTTTTTGGAAAAACCACCGTCAATGTTACGGCGATGATGGGCGTCACGGTGGCTAGGAGATATTAACTACCTCGCCTGGTATACAGGAGGTCGTAGGTTCAATACCGACACTTACGCCCGCTGTATATTTGGAGTTTGCGTGTCTCTCTCTCATCATCATTACGGTGGCTAGGAGATGTTAACTACCTCGCCTGGTGTACAGGAGGTCGTGGGTTCGATCGCGACCCTGACGCCTGCTGCTGTATATTTGGAGTTTGCGTGTTTCTCTCTCTCTGATCAACATCACGGTGACTAGGAGATGTTAACTACCTCGCCTGGTATACAGGAGGTCGTGGGTTCGATCCCGACCCTGACGCCTGCTGCTGTATATTTGGAGTTTGCGTGTCTCTCTCTCTCTCATCATCATCACGGTGGCTAGGAGATGTTAACTACCTCGCCTGGTGTACAGGAGGTCGTGGGTTCGATCGCGACCCTGACGCCTACTGCTGTATATTTGGAGTTTGCGTGTCTCTCTCTCTCATAATCATCATCACGGTGGCTAGGAGATGTTAACTACCTCGCCTGGTATATAGGAGGTCGTGGGTTCGATCGCGACCCTGACGCCTACTGCTGCTGCTGTACATTTGGAGTTTGCGTGTTCGTTCTCCCCGTGGTCGCGTGGATTTTTCTCCGGGTCTTCCGGTTTTCCCCTTCACATTTCGAATCGTGCGTTTAGAGTATTTGGCTGATATAAATTTCCACGTGATGATGATAAGCCACTTCGTGGAGCTATCATTTGTGGCCAGGTAGCTTCTGAAAAAGAGCTTCATTGCTCAGTGGGCCTTATCTGATAAAATCAAATCATAGTTTGTCATCTGAGAGTGATGGTGATTGCAATAAGACTGATACAATATGTCGTCTGGAAGACGGGGAGAATGATATTTGTTTCCAGCCGGTCTTAAATAATCGGGACACGGTTTTTGTCAATTTACTTTTTGGAGCCGCTGCCTGCATTGGTGCACACACGGCGTGGTGCCCGTCGCGTGACGTGCCACCCAGCCAGACGAAGACCGTTGTTACCACGTCGCGCGTGTGCTGGGAATGCGCGAGTGGCGGACCAATCAGGTGGTCAAAAATCGCAGCTTTCTCCCTTGAGAAATTACCGTTTTCCCCCGGATGTAGTGAAATATTCGGGCATGCCCAGGCGTGCCTGGGGAAGTAATTTCATTTTTGGCCGCCGGTCGAGGTTTTCCCTTGTTCCGTAATCGTATCAGAGTTGTGCTTGGGCGGGGGAGAGGTGGCAGCGTCCCCCATTTCCTCCAGATACCGAAAGGAACACGGGCGAGTGTCAGCTCAGCCACTATGGCTACAAGTTGGTGCGAAGTTCAGACCTCCCCAGAAACCGTGGCTGACGCGAGGAGGTTTTTCAGGCTCGTTCAATGCAAGCGGCAGACCCACTCCCACGTCTACACTACAATATGCCACCCCCAAAGACGAGGAGGGTGCAGTCAAGGGATGGCTCTCTATTGGTCAACCATGTTATGTATGGGTATGATCTAGTAATTGCTTCCTACTCTGAGAAGGAGATGCAGATGCCACTGCTGAACCTGGAGCATGCGACTAAGAGATGGTGCCTCACCATCAGCCCCACAACAACAAAGCACCTGTCTGGGTATTTTATGTCATCAAAAGCTCCCTCACTCAACTCCCCATGAGTGATGGAGCAGCTGTGGAGAGAGTGGAGACGTTTCTGTGCTCATGACCAGCTCCGGTTTGGCAGACGAGTTTTCATGCCGAATCAGTCGAGCAGCACTATATTTTCATCAGCTCCGTAACGCTGTGCGGAAGCTACCTGACCCGTCGCTCCATACAGTTATGCCCTGCCTTCTCTAGGTTTGCGTAACGTGGAGCCCTCTAAAGGAGCATATGCACCAATCTGAAAGATGATTCGAACTAGATTGTGTGAGGAGTTCACTGATCCTTGAAAGATCTGGACACGCTCCTCCGGCATGGGATGCTGTACTGGCTGGGTCATTTAGCCCGCATGTCCAGCCACCACATGCCTAAAACAGCTTCTATTCGTCCGGATAGATGGAGCTAAATGGGCACGGCACAGGCTAGAGAAGAGATGGACTGATGTCGTACAGAAGGATGTAGAGTTGATTGGACTGGTACCAGCGGTGTCAAGATCTGCCTCTGTGGAGGAGGTTCGTGAAGAACGCGTTTGGGGAGTTGGAAGCAGTCGCACTCCAGCAATAGCGGAGGGCAGAGGAGCGACGCTCACAACAACAAGTGGAGTGCTGGGCGGCTAAAACTCAGAGATTTGGCATCGTGGGGAGCAGAGTTGGTGCATCTGCGAGCCATCTCAGTCAGTCAACCCACGGCACATGAGTCTGTTCCGTGACCTCCTGCCACTGAGCCTTCGACACTCCACGCGGCCTCAAAGTGCACCTAGCCTGGTACAAGCGCCGTGCTGACGTCACCACCGCAGAGCGGTGGATGTTGGTTGTCATGGACTTACCCTCGAGATCAATGGGTTGCCCACATCTTGGCGACTAAACCAGCGATAATGATAGGTCGCAAGCCTTTTCGGACAACGCATTGCGCGACCCTCGTCGAGACCACGAAGTCGGTCAGCAACGAAAACTAGGGAGCGTTAAGAGCACGTTCACCTCGCCGTCTTACATTTTGCGCTCCCCTACCCCCCTCCCCACCGAGCCGAGAGGCGGCATTGGGCCACGGCGGCGTGGGAGCACCTCTCATCTGCTCGAAGCTGCCCCGCCCGCTGACGAATCGAAGGGGTCCGGCACGCGCTCACTCCCCAAACGCCTTGCGCGCCCGTGCAGATCGATCACGATCTCATTCACGTGCAATAAATGCACAATGCACGCAAAGACACCCGATTAAACGAATTACGCCACTCACGCCTTATGGAATCTGAATATAATAATAGGGGTTTCCCCTTTTTTTCTGGCAACAAAACTGAAACCTTTTTACAAGGAGTCATGTGTGCATTATGACCACAATACTTGTGGTCAAAATGCAAACAATAAACACACTATGATAACATATGCATTCTCTTTGGTTCTATTGGGTAAAGTCACGTAGGTGAAAATAAAATAACAAAAAATCACGACGTTTCGGCCACAACACAAGCGGCCTTCATCAGGTGAAGGGACGAGACTGTCTGGAGGACAGTGCTGGAGTGAGAGAAGCCACGCTTAGACCACGACCTTTAAGCTGTGTGAGATGAAAACAAGGCGCCTTGACAAAGGATTAGCATATAATTTAGCATTGAAATGGCTCATTGAAATAGCTAAGTTAAAGTATACACATCCGCAGAGGTACCCCTTGACAAAGGAATTAGCATAGAATTTAGCATTGAAATAGCTGAGTGATTAGCTTGTAACTGGTCACAGAAATAGCTATGTTAAAGTCAGAGCATATACATTCACCGAGGCACCTAGTACTCATCAAACAGGAGAATTTAGCGAAACACAACCACGCTAGACAGCGGACCTTTAAACTGTGTGCGAGCAAACAAGGTGACAAAAGAAATTAGCATAAAAATTAGCATTTGATTGGCCGATTTTAGGAAAGAGGTGGTGTACGTGCCGGTGGACTTTCCGTTTGGCATGGGGGAGGGGGAGTTTACCTATTGATGGTGTGAAAAGGGAATTCATAAGAACTGCGAAAGTTTGGGGTACCACTACTTGAAAAAATATACTGTACCATTGAAATTAGTTTAATGTT